CTCGTGGTATAGCTACTCCCATTACTGTTCCTGAGGGGTTTATCTGTCCAGGATTCTGGGTGTCAAGAACTCTTATCTGTAACAGTGTTCATTCTTGGATTTGTAAGGTAGACTTAGGGTTGGGAGATGGGGTGGGGGAGGGACAGTTTTAAGAATGAGAGGAATATTGTGTTTCACCAGTGCTATACTTTTATTACTGAGTAGCAGCTGTATCCACTACTCCAATGTCAGTGTGTTGTGAAATGGTGGTTTAGATATTAGTATACTGCTTTAAACTGTGTCAATGGTATTTCAAATGCCACAGAGTCACCTATGGTAGAAAAATTTCAGCTACAAATTCAGGTTTAGACTCACTAGATGATAGGAATAATGGAATTCAAAGGGTACTTTGAGAGCACAAAGCATTGTAGTAAAAGATGTAGAGATTTGGGATTGTAAAACCTAGGGGGAAATAACACTCGGTAATTCTCAAGATGAAAAAAAAAGAAGAAGAATTCAAGTCAAGGTGAAATATTAAAGTCTCTAGAGAAGATGTGGCACAGGCAGGTAGCATCAAAGGACTCTGAAAGGAATACATAGAGTCACTGTACCAAAAATAATTGGTCAACATTCACACATTGCAGAACATATCATCTAATTAAGAACCAGTACTACTGAAGAAAGAAATCCAAGCTGCACTAAAAACAAAAGTTCAGGATTTGACAGAATAACAACTGAACTATTTCAACAACGGTTGTGCTCACTCATCATCGTCAAGACATTAGGAAGACAGTTACCTGGAAAATGGACTGCAGGAGATCCATATCTGTGCCCATTCCAAACAAAAGTGAACCAGCACTGTGCATCCATTTTGAACAATATCATTAATATCACATTCAAGTAAAATTCTTTTAGTTACTAAAAAAATGCATGCACTATAATGGACAGGAAACTCCATTAATATCAGTCAGATTTACACAAGAATATGGATTAAAAGCAAACATAACTAATATTACATAGATAATGGCCAAAAGCAGATACTTACAAATACCTCAATGATCTTTTTCTGTATTTCTGAAAGAGAAATATCTCAAAGATATTTATCTGTACATTATTTATTATTCAAAATCATTTGACTATGTTGATTATATCAAATTATTGATAACATTGGGAAGAATGGAATTTCAAGACCACTTAAATGTGTCATGTGGAGTCAATTCCTTAACCAAGAGACAATCATTCAAACAGAAGAAATGGACATGGAGTGGTTTAAAATCAAAGGGTTGCAACATGTTGTCATATGTATTCAAATCTCTATGCTCAAAGCAAATGATTCAAGAAGCTGGATTGTACAAAGAAGAAGGCGGCATCAGATTCGGAGGAAGGGACAATAAGAACTTGTGATATGCACATAACACTTGAAAATAATGCTGATGAAGATCAAAGCTGTCGCCTTCAGTAGAATTACACGTCAACATAAACAAAATAAAATCCTCAATATTGGACTAGGAGGAAACATCATTCATGCTAAGTGGACTAAAGACTGAAGTTTCAAAGATTTCATTTTAATTGGATCCACACTAAAAACTGCAGTTCAAATTTGGAAAAGTTTTGTGGTGTCGTCGTGGTATCCTTACAGTCAATCTTCATGATGAAAAGTTTATCTGAGAAACTGGCCTAGTGGGGGTGGAAATCAGCGGTGGGATGGAGAAAGACTTCTTAATAACCTGTGGCAGCCAGACGACATAGCACTGTTTGCTCAAAGTAA